CTGTGACAGCACCCTGCTGTACATTAGCCTGAGGTATAAAAACCTGCCCTAGGTCTCGTGTGCTGCTATACAAGCAGCCAGACATGGTAGAGTTGTAGCATTTCTTACTGCACGGTGTCACATGGGTTCTTTTCACTAACACTCAGCAGCTCTGAAAGAGAAGTCCCTTCTGTGAACCCTCTCTGGTGTTTGCAGGGAGAACGAGGTCCTCCCAGACGGGGCAGCTGTGACTGAAGCTCAGCTGGAGTTCTCTGTCATCACCCCTGACCTCAGTGGCCTCTACTACTGTAGAGCGAGTACCCCTAATGCCACAGCAACAGGAGTGCTTTATCTCCAAATCGGTAATGCATTCTTTTTTATTTAAGAAAGAGACCACCTTTTCATTATTTAGAAGTTCAAAATATTTCATCAACATTTTTAGTTTTTGAACGGAATATAGTTTTGTTTGATCGTTTTTCCAATTATTTAAAGTGCAGAAGTTCAACAATTAAGGCCAGTATTGCATGTTGTACTTATTTTCCTAATCTTATTCACCATTTATTTGTATACCTCAGATTTAAATAGGCAATTGTTTGTAAAAACAGATAGAGCTGACTGAGGTGAAGATGCACACCTGCACATTTGCTGTGTCATGCTGGTTCTGAAAACACCTGACTCAACTGATGTCTTGAGAAAAAACATTGCTTGTGTTGACAGAATAACTACCCGAATGTTCACAAGTGAAACAGCTACGAACACTTTTCTGACAGATTTAATACACTTAAGGTTACTTATATGGTAATAAGTAAACATCCAAAAACTGCATTCCCTTTAAAAGATAAGCTTTGATTGTCAATGCAATTTTGTTTCATATTGTTGATCTTACAAGCTAAAAAAAAATACTATATAATATTAAATTAGCATATACGGTATTTTAAAGTACAGAATCCCCTTGGGTTAATGGACTTATTGCCGAATGGCTGTAAAATCTCAAATGGATGTTTTTTCAGCAGAAACTATTACATGACAAAAATAAATCATATAATATATATCAGATATGCTTTCTGGATCTTTTGACTTAATTTTAACATTTAAAATCAACATAGTCTTCAACACAACCAGCAACATAGTCAATAAAAATTATTATTTTTATCATAAGTATACAAGTTCTTTCTTTCATGTTTCATAGACATACTGTAAATTAACTAAAGCATACAAAACACAAACAACATCCATTGTAAGCAACTGACCTACCCATATAGGATATCGCTGATATTCCTGAATCTTAAATCTATGTAGTCCTTATGTTTACGTTGATTTGTGAGATGTGCATTTCTCCATTACTGCGGGTAAAGTCTGGTGCTTCTGACTTCACAGACAATCCCGTTTTAGATTTTATCCATTAGATCCAAAGCCTGTTAAACTGAGGATTTCACAGTTTATGGTTTTACACATTGACTAACAATCTTTCATTTTTCTATTTCATTTTAGGAATTTCAACTAATTATATGGCTTTGTTCACTCTTGCTGTTATACTGCTCCTTTCAGTAATCATCATATTGGTTTTTTTTCACGCAAAAGTAAGAGAGTTGTCTGTTACTAACAGTTAGACTTCCACTAGGGACTAACTAGGGTCCTCCAGAGAGATACAGTACATGTTCCATTTACACATGGGTCAGACTTCTCCTGCATGGTCACATGTTTCCACCATGTTGAATATGTATCCTCTCCAGCTGCCTGGGGGAACTCGATTCAGTAAGTGGAACATTTGCTGTGAACTGTTATGTGATATAATTACAACCTAATACTGCGAATTGTGCCAAATAATTTGCTCTATGTTTTAATCTTTTTTTAACCTTCATAGATGCCTGTATTTCTTTGATGTTACAGTTGATGCTTGCTTTCTGATATTTTACAGCAAAGGAATTGAGAACAGAAAATCCTCAAAGTAACAGGAAAACACAGGTTTATTTTTTTTACTTCACTCTCAAATGTGCATGTCTGCACATTAAAAATCTGACTTTAAATAATCAATTCTTAAACTGTTATTGAGAGCTGACATATTTTTGATTATCTTTAAGATCTGATGCATTCTGTGAAGCAGTGTTCTTAGAATAACTGTTAATTCCTGTTCAAAAGTAAGTTCTTTTTTTCAGATATAAATAAGATGAATATTCTAAGTCACCCTAACAAGAAGTCCTGACGCATCTTATTTTTTGTGGCAACAGTGCAGGTTTATTAACTTTTTCTGTGTCTCTTGTGTATTCTTATTTTTTTAATAACTCTATTGCTGCTTGTATAATACAAGCGTACGCTTAGTATTATAACTGTAAGTGTACATGCAATAAGTATAGGCACAGACGTTGTATCTTAAGAGATATCCACACTCTGAGATAACAAGTAATCACTCTTGATCAGAACTGCAGAGAAGCTCATAATCAACTTGCTGACATTCCATTTAGAGTTAGTTTGTAAACTGAAAGAAAACTGAGGAAGAAAAAATAGGGTTCTGTCTGAACTTTTGACTTATTTGACCATTATATAAAATCTTGAATTACAGAGAGAGCCATAAAATGTATTTATTATCTAATGGAGTCAGTGACCCATTAAAAAAACAGACCCAATATCATTAAGGTAATAATTCCAGGCAGAAAATGGTTAGGTTTTCAAGCGGCTCCTTTCTCCCCTTTATGAATCAATAGTTCCTAGTTTCAGATAAACTTTCACACATACAATTACAGCTTTTTTGAAAAGCTCATACTACCAGTACTTCTATTCTGATACTAATGTGACTTGTATTCTGCTATTACCATGTGATTCTTATTCTGCAGCTAACATGACGTTTTTTTCTAGCTTTTGCTTCCAGATCCAGTCTTCTCTTCGTATTTTTAAACCTCTTTTAATATGAATCTTCCACAACAGCTTAGCTGCCTCTTTACTGATCATATGGGCCTTGAATTCAGAGCAGACAGCCTTAAGCCTCAGTGGAATTCTGTTACCACATTAGCCTGCCTGGAGGGAGGGCAGCCCATGGCCTTGGATCCCCAGAGATTTTCCCTTCAGAAGGGTTTTTTTCTCTCCTCCGTGCCATTGGGTCACGTGGTGCAAAATAAGGCCAAAACATGCGCTTTGTTTTTCTCTGCAGTCCCTCTCACAAATAAAAAGAGACCCAACAGGCCATCTTGTGGTTAAGGTGATTTAGGCCATACTACAGTTACAGTATCACCCTGCACATGTTTCTTTTATTATTTAGTACAGAAAAAGTATTATAAAAACAAGGACATAAGTAGATTACAGATGAGAAGAGTGGAGATGGCCCTTTGTGCAGATTTTGTTGCTAGTAGTATATTAAATCCTAGATTCTTCAAATGCTCTTTCTGATGCAGATATGTAGTTTGCTGATGCGGATTCCCTGCCTGTCTACCTTTAATGGACACCCAGGAGAGATCCTTGGTATAATTACCTCCTAGCAACCCAACCTGCTACAGGTGCAAATGGCCTCCGCTCATTTTCATCCTTTTTTATGTCTCTTACACCCTTGAGTCTTTGTGACACTTGTGCTACTCAGCTGGAAATGTTGGTTATCTGCACAGGAGGGCTGCAGGGTTGTGGGCTGTTGCTGTGGAATGGCCTATATGCAAAACCGGCTGAGGCTCATGGCAGAATTGACGCTGATGAAACAGATCCATATTCCTGCTGATTGTTCTTTATTTGATCTCATCAGCATCCTTTCTTCTTGCAACGATCTGTTTTGATTTGGCTTAATTGGCTAACTTCAAATAAAATGATTTTAATCCAGTATATTGTCTCAGAGTTTTATTCAATTACTGTAACGGCACAATGCTCCTGATGTTCTAGAATGCTACATTAGAATTAACGTGAACTGGAATTCTGGGATTGAGGTTACAATTCTAGGGAATAATATTTGTCTAATCCTAGAGTTCTTCTCATAGTCCAGCTAAAGGTGCAAATGAATAGAAAATGATTAAACGTCAGATACAGCACTTTGTCTTTTTTCTGTACTGATTTTCTACGTGTAGTGGTAACCCCACTAAAATAAAATAAACATCTTAACTAAAGTGTGCGGCAAGAAATGTCACACACGTAACAGGAAGTGTTTACATTAGTATTCAGATATGCCTTCATGGACAGCTTGGTCCCTTGACTGATTTTTTGTTACGTTTTCCACAACGTTGTGTTTCTTTTCTTCTCTTTTCAGCATGGAATAAACCTACAGTACACACACAACGTAACTTGAACGTTTTGTTTTTTTAAACTTCCCATAATCCCTTTTTTGAAGTACAGGAAGTCAGATGGACACACAGTACATAAGAGTTTCGACATGATTCGCAAGGCAATAGCGTGAGACTCGTGCCTCGACCGGGGTCTGTGGCTTGCTGCTGTTCCAAAAGTGTGTCAATGGCCCCATCTACTGACCAATTCTAGGTCTTTTTTCTAAGTTTTTTTACTTTTATTGAGTAAAAAACTAAA